GGGGGGGGGGGGGTGACAGAGGAGAATTGGACGTAACCTTTTGCTAAGGTCTCAGAGAATTCACCCAAATGGGAGATGGTGATGCCACAGAAGAGAGGTTGAGAAGTGCTGAATGCTGAATGCTAACCAGCCAGAAATGAATTTTTCTCCCAGACACAAATGTAAAGGCGACATATATTATGCATATTATACATGTGTTTGTGTGTGTCTATCTAGCCTTATATAACATATAGGTTTCTGAAAAGCTGTATTTACAATGCCTCTTGTTTTAAGTTGTAGAAGAGTAACCATTTATTTGCGGTAATTTGGGTGTTGCATCTCTTCACAACTAGTAATGAAAAACGGAGCCGCAAATTGATTTTGTTTAAAAATAGAATTGTCCCATAATTACTTTCTTTAAGAGAAAGAGGCTGAATACATAATTGAGCTGCCTTGGGGAAGGGAATTATGAATTCTGCCAGCAGGAAGCTCCTCTCTTGCTCTCTTGAGTAAATCTTGATGAAAATTTCATCACAGATCCCATTATTTTAACCAGACAGTTACCCCTTAGGAAATGAATGTTCTGAAATACTTTCTTTTTTTTTTTTTTTTGAGTGTGTGTGTGTGCATGCATGCATGTATGTGATTTTTCTTTGCAACGATGCATGCTATTACAACTCTAACTAGAATGATTAATTTTATCTTCTTTTCCAATGGATCGTTTTTGATAGTTGAGTGCCTGCTGGGGGTCTCTACATCTTCTTTAAAGTCTACTTCTGGTGATGAGGCTCTCCTTGAGGACCACCAAGGCACACTTTCCCTTTTCCAGAAATCTACCAGTGGCACAGAAGTCTCATGCTTGATATTTCTGTTCTAGTGTCCTTTCCTACCTGTGGATAACACACCCACTCCTAGCCTACACTTTCTGGCAATTCTAAAGGGCTCTGGTAAGACCCAACCTGACCTGATACTCAGGGAAATTAATACTACTTGCTATTGATGCCTTTGGATTACAAACATGATAAAAACTTTTCCCTCCCTTCAACCCTTTCAAGAAATGTCAATAATTGGTAACTGTTGTTCTTCTGGGCACCTCTTAGAATCTGTCCACATAGACTGGCTAATCATGGATGGCTATGACCAAAGCCCAGAGCCTCCAGCTGGCCTATAAGCCAAGAAACATAAGGGGCTTCTAGCCCCATGGAACCCAAGCCTGAGAATTTCAAGGCCCAGTCAATTTTTTTAAAGAAACATACGCATAGAAGATATATCAACCTCCTATGAACATCCTGCTTCTCCCACTGTCCTAAGGGCCAACAAGACCAAGAGATTTGTTTTCTTTCTGTTCTAATATTTTAATTGTGGAATATTTTAAACTTATCCAGAAGAAAAAAGTACGATGAACTCCTATGTACCTTAACACGTCCTCAACGATTATTAACATATTTATATTTTATCTATACTCTACTCATACCCCCAACACACACAGTGAATCTTGATTATGGGCTATATTTGTGCATTGCCAAGACAATATATCATTAGCCTAAAGGTGTGCATATATGTATTTACATACATACACACACATACACTTTCCAATGGCATTTCTTATTTTCTGGACTGGATCCATAGGTACTCAGGTAACACGACTTTGCCTAGATCTTCTGTTTGTTAAGCACTATCTTACCAAATCCTCACGACAATGTTATGAAGACAGTACTATTATGATTAATTCCATTTTACAGATGTAGGAATTGGTTCTGATGAAATGAAGTCACTTGCTCAAGGTGACGGAGCTGTTAAGTGGCCAGCCCAGGATTTGAAGGGACATGTATCAGGAAACTGATCAGGACCCTTTAAGCAATACTTATTCAGTTTCCTCAAGAGTTAAATTTCCCTCTTCCCTGAAATAGTTTTGTTGTTTGTTTTCCATGCAAGAGGAAGCAAGATGAGCCCTCAGTTTTTGCTCTTTGCTGAAGTAAAGTGAGATGCCCGAGGGGCTGGCAGTGATTGTGCTGAAAGGATTCTATAACCAGCAGCCATAGGTCAGCTCAGGACATCCATCTGGGATGATGGGGAATAAAAAAGAGGGAAGGAGAACAGTTTATTTCAGCTCCACTCAGAATAAGAGCAAATGGATCAATGTTTACCAAATGAAACTTGTCTAGAATAGCACTTATTTCCTAAGTCCCATAGGCATTGCAAACTGAAAGAGGAAATGAAAAGCCATTAAAATAAATGATCCAAAAGTGTTCTTTAAACAACTATCAGCACTTTCACCAAAAGGAAACCCACACTTGCCCCTTCTTTTCTGTTCCCTGAGTTTAAACTCATATATCTTTCTTGGTTGGTCAGCACCAAATTTGGGTAATTACTCTTAAGTGTTAGACACCCCTATTTAAGTTTAAAAAAATAAAAGGAAGGATTTTCAATATATGTGAGTGTTATTCTTGCAGGTAATTTGTTGCTAGACCTAGAGGAAAGTTGGAAACATGGCAAAAAAAAACCCCCAAGAACATGAGTCAAGTGTTACATCTAATTTAATGTGCTGGATAGAAATGATTGAGATTTCCAGAATTCCTCTTTCCCCAGTTCCCATGAACTGAAAAGAGGACTTTGCTGCTCTCTTGTTTTCTGCCTTCAGGGGCAAAGATCTCCTTTTCCAGTATACTTCCACTGGCCCTTAGGGTTAGGATTGCTATGTAGCATTTTAGGGCTATTTGACGTCCAACCTTTTGTTCTG